TAAGAACACACTCCCCCCAGAATCTCTTAGGCAATTTTGAATGAATTCTTATAGATCTGGCTGTATCAAGTAAATGGCGATGTTTCCTCTCTACTCTTCCATTTTGTTGGGGAGTGTTGGGAATACTCTTCTGATGAATAATCCCTTTTTCATTGAAGATCTTAGAACATAGTGTTTGGACTATTTCAGTTCCATTATCAGATCGAATCATTCTTATTCTTGAATCAAATTGAGTTTCAATATAAGCAATGAATCCAGAAATGATATTTGGAACTTCAGTTTTGTCTCTTAACAAGTAAGTCCATGTGTTTCTACTGCAATCATCAAGAATTGTGAGAAAATAGGATGCTCCAGTTAAAGATTTTGTCCTATATGGTCCCCACAAATCAATATGAACAAGATCAAAGATTTTAAAAGCAATGGAGTCACTTCTTTTAAAGGGTAATCTATGATGCTTTGCCAAGATACAAACCTCACAGGACAGATCATTAATATTATCAACATCACTAGCTATGCTAAGATGTTTCAATTTTGACAAAGATGTATGTCCTAATCTGTTGTGGATGAGTAAGACATGATCTGGAACATTACAAGATTTATTCCTTAAACACTCTGTAGTCATTACATTGTGTTTATTATTGAAATCAAAAGAAGTAGTATCTACTTTATTCACTTCATCCTTAACTTCAAAGATGTAGAGTCCAGATCTCTTCCTTCCAATGGTAGTCCAATTCTCAGATGAAAGGCCCTGAATGTAACATCCATAATCATCAAAACAGATTATCAATTCACTGTTCTTTAGCAGTTTACCTATAGATAACAGGTTGTGTTGAAATCCAGGAACATACATTACTCCTTTTAGAGTAATCTGTTTTGATAGGTGCACTTCACTAATAATTTCAACCTTTTTAACATTCCCATCAGGTAAAGCAACATTAATAGGCTTGTTTAGGTATGTTTTATTCTTCAGTATGTCCAGGTCATGAGTCATATGATCAGATGCTCCTGAATCAATTGTCCATATTTTTTCTTTAATGAAACCTCTACTTTCATTAACTTGTGAAGCATATATCATACCTGCCATACTGAAGTTTGTGGAAGCCTGACTTGTGCTTGGATTAGATGAGTTCCTCTGTTTCAGAAACTCTTGAATAGTTGCAATGTCAATCTGTTGAAGAACCTTGAAGTCTGACTCCAATTCTTCATCAAAAGGAGTATTTCCTCCTACTTCCTTAAACTTTGCTTCATAGTTTGCGTTGCGAGCAAATTTCTTCTCATTTGAGTTTCGTGAGTCCAGAGAACTGTTTTTCTTTCTTTTTGAACCTTTGTACCAGTCTGGATAACCCTTTAATTCAAAACAGTCTTTCATCAAGTGTCATGTCTTGCCACAATGAGTGCAGAGTAGTGATTGTTTCTCCAATTTTGACTTCAAGTAATCAGCCTTTGTCATGGAGTTGTTGTCAAATGCTTTGTTCTGATTGCTTGAACTTTTACTGAATTTATTTGCAGCCATTGCCATTCCACCAGATACATCATTATGATTTCCACAGATGGACTTTTGCATCTCAACTTGTTGGATTCTGAAGAAAGCCTGGTTCACAGTAGGTAGTGGATCCACACCAAGGATCTGATTTCTCAGATGTTCGTAATGATTATCAAGTCCCATCAGAAATTCCATTAGTTTATTCCTATTGTCTTTCTCAATAATTCGCTTCAGTAGATTGCAAGTACATGATTTCAGTGCTCCACATTCACACATTGGTAGTCCATCTAGAGCTTGTATATCCTCCCAAACAGATTTCAATCTTCCGAACAATTCAGCAACAGTTCCTCCTTCCTGACTTATCTGAGTCAAGTCCTTTTTCAGTTGATATAGGTAAGGAGCATTTGTTTGGCTGTATCGTTCTTGTACTTCTTCCCATAATTGTTTCGAGGAACTTACATACATCATAGTTCTGGCAATTTCTGGTGACATTGAATGAAGGAGCCAGCTCATGATCGTATAATAAACTCTTAGCCAATCCTGGAAATTGTCCGCATCTTCTTCTGGCCTTTTGAGTTTTCCGTTGATGAACACAAGCTTGTTCTTCACGATTAAGGACATCTTGATGCCTCTGGACCAATTGAGGTAGTTGTTTCCATTGAAAATCACATTTGTGATCACTGAATTAGAATGATCGCTCGGAGCTAGATAAAAAGGATCCTTATAAGAACCAGTTGTGTTTGAGTTTTCTCCGCCTGGCATTTCTACGAACAATATGTGTGGAATGATTATATTTGATCACGTATACAGCTCTGATACCATCTGGAAATCAAAAACTAAAGAAAGAGATGAAGAAGAATCAAAGTTTCCATTAATGGAGTTCGGTTGGTTACAACGGAGAAAACTATCAGAGTATACAATCTTGATCAGTATTTATACACACAATTGTGTAACAAACTGCTAACAGTATTCTAAAGAATATACTAGAGGCATTACACGTCATCTATTACAATTAGACTATGCTAAGCTATATTCCACATAATTCATACCCCTTTATCCCGCTAATATGGAAAAAGGGTCAGATAGGTCCTCGAACTTACATAAAAAGGTCAAATAAACCCTTATATAGGGGGTGTTTGGATCTGATTCTTAAAACTGTTTCTACTTCTTCAGGGAGCAGAAGTAGAAGCTGGAGCTCAAATTTACTCTTAGAATCAGCTTTTTTAGAAGCTGAGGGCGACCAGCTTCTAAAAACTGATTCTGATTCTCCTTCTGCTTTAAAAAAGAAGGAGAAGCAGAATCAGTTCCAAACACCCCCATAAAAGGCTCTGTTCGGCCTTTTAATGACGATGGACTGATAGAGCCTCCTATATAAGGGCTTATTTGACCTTTTTATGTAAGTTCGAGGGCCTATCTGACCCTTTTCCCCGCTAAGATTGTCTCGTTTTACTTTTTCGGGAAATCCCACTAAGATTGTCACATACCAAATTTGGTAAATTTTGTGTAACTCTAAATCATTCTTACTTTTTTTTTTACTTTATCAGTTCAATATCAACCACATAAACACATTTTTCCTAATAGTTGTGTGACTCGTGTCACCTCCTTCCGTCTCAATGTTTTACTAAATTAGGAAGCACGTTTAGTGCTGGACTCGGGCCGGGCGGCCCGGCCCGGAACCGGCCCGGCCCGGTTACTGTTTGGCCCGGCCCGGCCCGGGCCCGGTGGGTCCACCGGTTCGGTTCAGCCCGGCCCGGCTGCTGGGCGGTTCGGGCTCGGGCCCAGGTTTTGGTGAACCGGCCCGGCCGGTTCGGGCCCGGTCTGGGCCGGATTTTAATTTTTTTTTTTTTGAAATTTTTTTAAGTTTTAGGTTGGATTAGGTATTTTGGGCCATTTGAGGTGGTTTGGGATGGTTTGGGGTTGAGGGGGAGGGGTAGGGGATTAAATAGGAGAACAAAAAAAAATTTAATTGGGCCGGTTCGGCCCGGCCCGGCCCGGTTTGGCCCGGAACCGGGACCGGAACCGGCCACCGGCGGTTCGGGCTCGGGCCTCCCTTTCCTGGCCCGAGGCCCGGCCGGGCCCAGGCCCGAACCGGCCCGAGTCCAGCCCTAAGCACGTTGATATACTTAGGAAGCACGTTGATATGCTTACTAAATTTATTACTAAATACCCCCTTAGTTATACTTCCTCTGTCTAATATTGATGGTCATGTTTTAATTTGATGCAATTATTAATAAAGTGATTGAAAAGTAAAAGTTGTAATTAAGATTTGATTATAATAAAATGAAATAATAAAGATCACATATTTTTTATAAAAAATGAAACAAGAATTCATTTTGACACTATTCAAAAAAAAGGGACAGTCGAGTATTAATTGATAATATGATCATAGTTGCTATAGCGGAGATAAAGAGTTTGAGGGACAGTGGCCTCCTAAATATGTATTGTGTTTCTACTCCATCCGTCCTATTTTATCTGTCTTACTTTTCCTTTTTGGGTTGTCCCAAAATAAGTGTCAAATTTCCCTTTTTGGAACGAAATATGTGGTTCACAACATTTCACTTTACTATACTCAAATCTCAACCACAACTTTTACCTTTTCAACCACTTAATTAAAAATTGTGCCAAAACCAAAGGAAACACATAAAATGGGACGTATGTACTAATATTTTTCAAAAAAAAATATTAAAATAAAACTTATTTACATAAATATGATTTACTATCACATACTAGTACAACATAATTTCATGATCACTTAAGTTTAAAAATTGAACATAACTTACTAGTATTAAGCTATTATTACTATAATAACTAGCCACATTTTTTAAAATAGTCTTTTATTTTATTCATAAATATGTTACGAAGTATTATTTATACTTTTCCGACTAAATTACAGTAAGGAGCTATTTTAGATATTTTACATATAATGTTACTTTATTTTTTTTTTTAATAAAATACATTATATATTTTTTCATAATTCAACGGATTTAGCTACTTCAATCACAATTTCATCAATTTCTTAGATCGACACATTCTGTCGATTCAACCAATTTCAATGTTATCAAATGAGTTCTAAATTTTTCTTGATAAACTACTCCGTATATTTTAAAATTTAAATAATTTTTTCACAATTCAACATATTGAGCTATTTCACCCAAAATTTTATCAATTTTAATATATTCGGTCGATTCAGTCAATTTCAGTATCATCAAGTGAGATCTAAGGAGTAATTTTTTGAGCTCCTATCCCTTGTACAAGAAATTTTTGCTCTGCCCGTGAGTACGCTGTACGCAGTGGCATGATGTCACATAGTCACATTATCAGTCTATCACTAAACATTTCCGTGCACAACACCCCATCTGATACCAAGCTAAACTCTCTTTCTTTGAAACAAACTACCAAAGGAGCAAATTCACCCTAAAATTGAACTGCTTGTGAACTAAGAACAAGAACTTGTGGTTGAAATTTAAAATGACTTTCATACTCTTGGTGCAAAAATGCCAAACACATGACTAAGAAAGTAAGAAGTAGACAACCTATTTATGACCCAATCCTCCATCACAATCCATCCATGCACTCCTTTTATATTACACTCACAACAATACCACATTTCAACCATTTTGCTTATCATCTTCTAAAATTATCCCTTTAATCTCTCAACCTAAGATCATGGAAAAGATCAAAAGAGTGATTTTTCAGCAGCTGTTGTATATGCTTCTTCCAGTACTTATGAGCATAATTATTGGGGATCCCTTTGAGTTGAGTCCAGTGGGAGGGAACAAGTTTAGGCCTGTGAAGAATGAGATTGCGCCCTACAAGGTGGTCATGGAGAACTGGCGTGGGGATAACAAGAGCAGGCTTGGGCTTGGGCGTTTGCAGTTCGTAGATGAAGTTTTTGGGCCTGAGTCCCTGGAGTTTGATTTGTTGGGCCGGGGACCGTATGCCGGGCTGGCGGATGGGCGGGTCGTTAGGTGGATGGGTGATGGTATTGGCTGGGAAACATTTTCCTTGGTCACTCATAACTGGTTAGCATTATGTTTCTCCTCTTTTGCTGTTCTATTATGCTGCTTATGAATATAAAAATGTCTATACTTTTAGTGTAAAAACTTTCGTGTAACTTTTTCCAAAAAAAATATATTTGTACCGGCCTAGTCCGACTCAGTGTCTTGGCTTCGCCCCGGTTACTAATATAGTCCTATAACATCTAAAAATCAACCTTTAGTCCCACAGATTTTACTCTTTTTATTCATGTCTATATACTACGTATATCTTGGCAGTTGTAAGGCACAATAATGAAAAGGGCTTAAGGCACAATAAATTTATAGTTGTGTACCAAAAGTGCAAAAAACATGGAAGTTGATGTTCAAAATGGGAATGAATTCATAGTATTGATTTTTTTCTGGAAGATCATAGTATGGAAAATTGAAAAAGCTTTTTATTTGAATTCAATTTTTTAATCAAATTACGTAAAATGATCATAAATACAATGAAAGTACATATGATGTCTATACCTGAAAGCACTTATCAGCTTATAGCCGCCTAGTCGTTGGCCTTCCATTAGTCAATTGCATGTTTATTTGACACTATTAAACTTGTGTTTTCGTTCTAAAAGGTCAATTTTGTTATTTCATATTTAACCAATGTGAGATAAAATCTTCAACAAGACTGTTTGGACCTCAAATTGTCTAGTCATAGTCTCATAGACTCATAGCACTTTTCAGTGTCTTGGACTTTAAAATGTTAGTCTTCTTATGACAGGTCAGAGAAGATTTGTGCTAAAGGAGTGCATTCAACTACACCAAAGCAATGGAAGTTTGAATCACATTGTGGGCGGCCTTTGGGTCTAAGGTTTGACAAGAAAACTGGAGATTTGTACATAGCAGATGCATACTATGGGCTCTTGGTGGTTGGTCCTGAGGGAGGAATTGCAAAACCATTGGCAACTCATGTCCAAGGGAAGCCTATACTCTTCGCCAATGACCTCGACATTCATAATAATGGTTCCATTTTCTTCACCGACACTAGTCAGAGATACAACCGAGTGTAAGTCCAAGTACATGTTGAATATCTTCTCTATCTTTATAATGCATGCTTGTCTAGATGAAAGCGTGATTGAGATTATAATTGTGTGTGACTTTTTTAATGTACAGAAACCATTTCTTGATCATGTTGGAAGGAGAAGCCACTGGCAGGCTGCTCAGATATGATCCCCCCACTAGAGAAACTCATGTTGTTTTAGAAAACTTGGCATTCCCAAATGGAGTTCAGTTATCTAAGGATCAGTCTTCTCTTTTCTTCACTGAAACAACCAATTGCAGGTACCAGTTTTCCATTATTATAAGTCTTACAAGCTCAATCAGTAATAAAAAATACATCTCCTATCAAATATATGAATATATGATAAAAGTCTTGAACTACTCATCCTAATCTGTACCCATTGATAAGTGATAATAAAGCACACATCAAAGAAATACATGTTAAGAAATGCCATAAAAATATTCACCTAGTCATTCTAATTAATTAGTACCACATTCTACTAGTATATATAATACTCATTGTTAAGACCACAAATGTCGCCTTAATTCCACATGTTTCCTACATATGTATGATGTTGTTCCATTTGTGCCAAGCTCCCATAGATTTATTTTTTAACATATGCATGTATGATGTTTCTCCCATATAACGGAATAGTGTGAAAACATGTTGCAATGCAAGAGGAATTCAAATCATTGTTAACAATAAATCTCAAACTAAATAAATATGAATATATAAACCAACATATGTAGTATAAAGTTTTGAGTTACGAATCTTAATGCTCTGGTTGATGCAGGCTGATGAGGTTCTGGCTAGAAGGGCCGAAGAGCGGGAAGACGGAGGTGATTGCAAACCTGCCAGGATTTCCAGACAACGTTAGAGCGAATGGGAAAGGGCAAATCTGGGTGGCCATAGACTGCTGCAGAACAAAAGTACAGGAGGTTTTGGTGAACCACCCATGGACCAGAAGTGTGTACTTCAGGTTGCCGGTTCCAATGCAATACCTGGCTAGATTGGCTGGGATGAGAATGTACACTGTGATCTCACTATTTGATGAAGAAGGGAGGGTAGTTGATGTACTTGAGGACAAAGAGGGTGATGTGATGAAGCTGATGAGTGAGGTTAGAGAGGTCAATGGGAAGCTTTGGATTGGGACTGTGGCTCATAACCATATTGCTACACTGTCCTATCCTTGATCAGACTAGCTAATGGATTGGTTTATTGCATCACTTTCACTCTTTGAATGAATTATATTAGTAGTAAGTAGTTAATGTTTTTTTGCTTAGCCTTTTCGTTTTTTGTGACGACTCCTAGCTCTAGTGTAACTAGTGTGTTACGTGATAATTAAAATTCTGTAGCTCAAAATTGATGATTGGATTATAAGATTTGTCATTTCTCTTACAAAAAATGCATAAGAACACGTGTTCTTTTTAACCATTTGAAAAAGTTATAATCATTTACAACAAGTGAATGAAATATACATTCAACTTGATTCATATAATATGGCAAGTTTCCATTAATAAAAGATAGAAAAATGAAAATACACTTGATGATACATGTCATGCTCAACTAGACACGCTAATATATTAGCCAAACATAATTGATTCTCACATTATCGATTGATTCTCACACTACTCAAGTTTGAGCTCAATTGACAAAAAATTGTTTTCACAGACCACGCGTATACAAAATTACAAATGTGTAAACAGTAAAAAATGTACAAGAATGTTCAAGTGTGTAATGGGCCGAATTCGAATACCAAGAAAATGTAAAATCCAAATATTGAAGGGCTTGATCAAAGTAGTGCTCACATGTTCCGTACTTCCATTCAAGAATATTAAGCATCCATGAATTATTCAAGTGTAAATGTAGAAGAATTTAGTATAACTCTCTTGTTTCAATTACGGAGTATGAATATTGACAAATTGATCACTTATTGGACAACTTGAATACGAGGCAATTACTAAAGCCAAGCTACACTTAAAATTTGAGCACAATTGTGATACTTATTCCAAATGTGTTTGGATCAAACAGGGAATATTATCAAGGGAAAATCACTATTAGCCCCCGGAGGTTAGGTCATAATTATTAATGCAATCTTACAATTTCAAAAATCAAGTACTTAACCCCTAAGTTTGTATCATTATCACTGTTTGCCCCCTCTTGTTATTATTTGTTATATTAAATTTAATATAACTTTTAAATTTAAGCAAAGTTGTCTATAAAATTAAACTTTAAAGTAAAATATGATTTAATATCATAACTATAAGTCATTGTTGTTATTCCTTATTTTTTTCTTATCTACCCGATCATAAAATAAATTTAATGAATGTTGTTAAGAGAGAAGACTCACGAGTAAGATATAAAATATCACGAATTTTATCTTTTCTAATTTTAAAAGTAAATATCACTTAATCTTATTAAACTAATAAAGTTTTTACGGAGGAAAAATAATAAAAAATTAGTAATAGAATTAATAAAAGAAAACAAAATCTATGATATATATGTCAGGTCTTAGATAGATTGACAACTTACAATTATTTAGACCAACATTCTATATTTTAGGTTCGTTATAAAACCAATCTTTTAGGTCATTGGTTGATAGAATTCCTTTTTTCTTGGCATTTCATCTTCGCTACACACGAAAGAATTGTCATTGAGATTAATGTAGCCGGATGAATTACAAATAAGACTTTTATATTCATGATGAAGAAGTGTCTAGAATTCCAATCACAATATTTCAAACAATTTTATTTGATATATCTCATGAATAACTCAGCTCATGAGTCTTTTACCTTAGCTACTTTCATTAATATTTTTTATTCCACGATTGAGTAGCTAAGTACAAAAATAAAGATCAAGAAAAATGATTTATAATTATGATAACAAACTGTAATTTACTTTTAAAATTTAATTTTATAGACAATTTTCATTGATTTTAAGAGTTATTCTAAATTTAATTGAACAAATATCAACATGAGGGGGCGTACAGTGAGATGATCAAAGGTGAGGGGGTAACTAATTGATTTTTGAAAATGCAAGATTGCATTAACAATTATGACATAACCTTAGGGGATTAATAGTAATTTTTCCTATTATCAAGCCAAATCACCTCGTATTTTGAGTAAGTCGAACCTCAAACTCAAACCCGATTGTCTAACAAACATGCCTATATCATGTACAGACTAGGGCCGGCCCGTTCGGCCTGCCCAGCCCACCTTTATGAACATACAGGCTTGGACATATATACTTCGTATTTACCCAATAACTCGGGGTCGGGCCCATAATAAGGGGTGGGGCCAAGGAGGATTAGAGTGGTCAACCGACCGACTGAAAGTTCGAAAACGTAGAGCGCTGATGAAATAGATATTCGATTTGATATATGTTGGAAATTATGAAAATATTTCAAATGAATAAAATCATCCTTTAAATTATTTTTTCTATTCCAACCATACACTTTCCAACTCCCATTGTCCTTTGCTGTTAAAGCTCATTGATTCCTAAAACGTTTTCTTTTATTATTAGCCATTAATGGTATATTGAAGAGCAAATGTTTTGCCTAACGTATGAGCTACTCATTAGCTAGCTTTATTCCATTTCTTTATTATCATTAATACAAAGTATATTATATGATACATATATACATATATATACGGATTGAGCATACATGAGAAAAGAGATATATGCCATACTCAAAAAGTTAAGAACGAGTACTTACATTATACTACTTATTTTATGTATGAAGTATATTTCATGCATGTGTGCTGGAGAAATAATAGAGGGATCATTGGAGCAACAAATCGACTCTCAATAAGTTTATACTTTTCAGCAAAGTTCTTCATCATAAACTATCATAACTTGATTACTGGGTTCATATACTATTTTCTTCTCGTTAGTTCTGGTACCGGTTTATAACCGAAGGGCTCGTTATATCTTGGGGGAAATTTTCGTACGCCGGAAATAATTCCTTAGGACAGCGTCTGACGCGTCTCGAGCCACTAATATATTTTTAGATCTTTTTAGTGATTATTTTGCAGGTCAATTAGCGGACACTAGTGGAAAAACGCCAAATAGAGGCGCTTTTTTTGGGGCACGCGCGGCGCTTTGAAGCGCCTCCAGCGAATGTGACGCAAATCCACAATGGAGGCGCTTTTTAGCCAGAAAGCGCCTCTAACCTTTATTTTTTATTTAATTTAATTCAATGATATGCGTCGCTTCTGACTGAAAAGCGTCGCACGCGCGTTTTTTTTTAAAACTTCGCGGCGCTTCCTTAATAACAAGCGCCTCTGATATTCTTTTTTGCTGGACGATTTTTAAACGTTGTGCGGCGCTTTTGAAAAAAGAAGCGCCTCCGAAGTCTGCTACGAAAATTGTTTTGAAGGCGCTTGTGTTTGAAAAAGCGCCTCCAATTGTTTTTGTTTTTTTTAATATTATTTTTTAAAACGTCATATCACCTGTTTTATTTACATAATTACATATCAATCACCAGCCAAAACTACACATTCATTCATAAATCCTGGATAACATGATACAGATAGCATCGTTTCACACAAACTAAACTAGAAAAGTAGTTGAAATTTGTATCACAGTAGAAATAAATTACATTCAAGTTTAATTCGTGTTCAAAATTCCACTACATATTCATAACTTCATCTACGAAAAACCTAGCCCACGCATTTCTGATATCATTCAACTCCTCCGTCATATATGGTTCACTTCTTGAATTCCAAACCTGAAAAATGTTCATACATAAGAAGAATAAATATAAGATAAATAATGAAAAATTAAATTATAAATAATTTAAATAATTTAATGAAATCCACCTATTGAAGTACATGTAATTAATATACCTGCCCAATATCTGCACTTCCAACATAAGTTATTATTTCCCACATAAACTTCATGACATAATAAACTTCAACCCATTGATCTTTCATCGCTGGCTAAAGTCTGACCTTCTCGCCAAACCCGTCGCTCTCTCACCCTCGTTGCCCCTCGTACGTGCTTAAGTCGCTGCTCGTCGTAGTCTTGGTCACAACACCACGATATTTTGCAACTGAAACAATAACTTTGATCAGGGTCTGCACCATACTCACCTTCCATCCTATGCCTTCCTGTTAAAGCTGAGAGAAAATAATCCATGAAAACTCTACACCGCCGACGAATAAAGCTTCGTGGTACCAACCGTGATTTACAGACAAGCTGCGCACTGCCGCTTGGGGGGGGGGGGGACCGAACCGACCCAATCCGATACATGACATCGGTCCGGGTTTTATTTTAAAAATGACCGGTCCAGGTTAAAATACCCGACCCGAACCCGAAAACTTGGGTCCTAATTCTGGTTCTAAAATTTTAAGCCCTACCCGGACCGGAAAAAACCCGATTTAATTAAGAAACTAAAAAATATATATTTTATATAAATTAAAATATGTATGACCTATTAATACATCATACGAATTTTTTATATACAATACTTATGGACTATTTTATAATTTATACTACCTCCGTCCAAATTGATTCGCAAAATTGACTTTTTTTAGTCAAACAGATTCCTTTTATTCACTTAATTAGATAGTCAATTTTTAATTATATTTAATTTGGAGTTTGAAACTTTGAAGAGATTTAAGTGTAGTTTTTGAATATGTAAATTTCAATTATTAAAAATTGACTTTGTAAATCAATTTGGCATGGGGAGAGTATTACTTTGCTTTCAAACCAATTGTTCTTCTATAACATTTTCTATCATATGATTTTTAGATTCAAAATATACTGCTTTGGTTTTAATATACCACATATTGTTTTTATTAGAAGTAAGTTTAGATATTTGCAATTTTGTTGTGGTTGTATTTCAATTGTTTTTAGATATCTCAGTTCGATTTTTTTCGGGTTCAATCCAACTCGACCCGAACCCGAGGCTCTTATAACCCGGACCAACCCGAAAGTATTGGTCCTTCGATCGGGCCCAAAATGTACAACCCAAAGCTTTTTGGGTTTTTAACGGTCCTAGCCAAAACCCGACCCAACCAGACCCGATCCCACCCCTACTGCCGCTCTCGTTTTAGAAATGAAAGAGGTTGAGGAATATGAGGATTGTGTTAGCGATATCTAAACATGAAATTAATAAAATTTGATGTGTATTATTCATTATACTCTCAATTTTAAAAAATAGCATCAATGTTACACAATACTTATGTAATTTTTATAGGAAAAATTGATAAGATTAATCCCACCTTTCACTGGTCTTCTCATAATAATCCCACCTTTAAATAATCCCAAAATAATCTCATCTTTGCACCTCATCTTCTTTCATTGGACCCTGACCAAGTTTTTTACCTTTTTTATAAATCTTATATAAATAATCTCACATTTATAAGGATATAATTAAAAAGTGAAAGGTGAGATTATTTGTATAATTTTCAAAGAAAGGGTAAAAAACAT